ATATACGGGGTGTTCCATTTGAAAAATCAAAGAAGCCGCTACTTTATAGTAGAAGCGACAACGCCGCTTCGTCTAAAATATTTTAGGCGTGTAGGTCATATTGACTTATGCATACTGTGGAATTTTCAGTTTGATTTGTTGAATAGTTTGCCAGAAACGGCTAATTAACGCTCATCATGAAAAGCTCTGTATATGTGGCTGAGTAGTATTCAGGATTATTTTCAATCATCATCATGTTATTTGAACCCATACTTTCCCACTCACTCATATTAACGAAATGTTCTTATTGAATCAGAAATGATTATTGAATAACAAAATTAGTTAGCTCTCTAACTATATTATTAAAGGGGAACTGTTGGGAAGTAGGTTGCACTACATCGTTTACTTGAACTATACTTCATAGGTAATTATATTTTTCATTGTCATTAAAAAAAAAAGCTGAGTGTTGGAAGAGGTTCACTCAAAACTCAAGTCCACTATATCTGAAAGGGTACAGGATTTGATTTGAAAGGAAGTAATAAACACACGTTATCTATCACATATTTCATTTATTTTTCTACAATGAGTTGGTAATAACATTGGCTATCAACAATTCTAAGAAATAAATGTCAATTACAGTAAGTGGTAACATTTCTCAGTACAATTATATCGATCTGTAATGCAATCGCTAATATTATAAAACTATATACATCACTAACATTCTTATTCTGTCAGCAAAACAGAATTTTTTATGCACACCACATTTTCTATCAGATGAAATATTTATCATTAAAATAGCGTCAATAAGGAACACTGCAAAAAATATATTAATCGAGTATTTCATAATTGAAACCCCAAGTGTTTACGATCTGGGGTTGTATGTACAATACACATCGCTGATCTATATCTTATGAGGCCATTTTCAAAATTTTTACATTATAAGCGCCAACAATCATTCTACGTGTTTACAATATAACAATGTTATAGGCCAATTTCAAATGGCCAGTATACGTAGGTACGGTTTACGCAAATAAACTTGCTCACAAGTTTCAAAAATAAATCAGTGATAAATGGTGGATGAGATGGAACTCGAGAAATTTGAGCATACGGGTGTCATTTACCACATATATGAAATTATTGTTGTACAAGTAGTGTAGATTTACATAATATTGTCTTCATTTAACAGTTCATTGATTATGTCTTGAACGAAATATCGCCGCGATTCACTGATTATTATTTGTTTGAAGGAGTTATAAGATTTCTAAAAAAGCCAGTTCATAAAGTAATATCTCATTAAGCAAATCATGAACTTCATAAACATGCGAAATAGTAGCTGTTATCTAAAACAAATATTTCACATATCCATGAGTACAAAGAATTAGTTTGTTGTGAGATTGAAACGTTTCATCAGAGGATTCATCAGTGGTTCATCAGTGTACTTGTGTATTCACAAACATTTCAATAGATGAAAATATGAATATAATAACGAAAATGATGATCTTCAAGAAAAAAATCGCCACTACCATCATAATTATTTCACATGTCACATGGAGTTATGTCTTTTTGATTACAAGTTTTTTTACAACTGAGAGGATGATTCGAGTCAAAGAATCACCCAAGCAGTCAATGGATCTTTTGCCACAATACACATTTGGTTGAGAATCAAATTTATAATCAGACTGACAGTCAAACAATACAAACTCTGTCAGTGTAAATATTACGTTGTTAACTTTTCAACTGTTGTTTCGAGTAGAAAAGTTTATCGACTGAATCAGAGCAGGAAAATAATATTGTACAGGGTGTTATGTAAGTGGCTAGCTTCTTCAGATGGAAACGTCAGGAAAAAAATCTGAAAATGGACGTCCTTCAAACCCGAATAAAAATACTGACACTGAAAACCTCAACCATTTTGAATGGGGGAATTCTTTGAGTAATTCCAAGACGATACGTTTATATAAACATAGATCCGATAAAACTTTGTTTTTGGGATACAGACTGACAACACTTGTAAAATAAGTAGTTTTTCCTCATTATCTTAATAATCCTTCAGTCGATTCTGTTAAAACTCGGCAGTGGTTTTTGGGGTAGTGGAGGGCTAAGTTAACCCTAACTAGATTGAATCCATAATATTCAGTGGCGTTCCGGCAGGTACCTTGAATAATATTTTTGGCCAAAAAATGTGTCAATGACTTTTTGCAATTTTGAAACTATAATTTTTTCATTTCTGACATTAAATTAAAAATCATATTTTTAACTCATCTCTGTTTCGAAAAGGGCATAGCTGTTCAGACGCCCTTCAATAAATTGCGGTTGATATAGTGAAAGAAATATATTAAAACAAATGTACCGTGTTAGTCCTTTGACAGAGTGATCTGGATAGAGTCTGCAGAGTTCGAAGAGAAAATCTCGATATTTTATCCGTTTTTCCTCCTCTTTTCTGACGATATTCGTCTCGCCAGAAGCTGAAAACTCCACGACAAATATCGTTTTGCTCTGGTGGTCGAGAAGGATTACGTCTGGCTTGTTAGCTTGTATGAGCCTGAGGGTGGGGAACGAATAGTTCCAATAAATCAATAAATTCGGCACTTCTCGTTCCCCACAACGGATTCAATATCCCCCGGAGCGTAGGGTAACACCGGTGTCTCGTCAATACCGAAAGAGTGCCGTCGCTGGTAATATAGCACTCTTAGGGCCGCGTTATGTCGATGTATATAGGCCGAGACCGCATATGCTGGACATGCTGACAGCAAGTACACTAGGGTCTCTGGCACCTTGCGGCAGGCCTTGCACCTTGTGTCAGGAACCTCTATACCCATCACGCGACTGCGGTAGACCAAGGTGTTGAAGACACCATCCTTGCAAGCCACGATGAACCCCTCAGTTTCCGACTTCAGCCCACTCGACCTGAGAAAAGCGAACGTCTGGCGCTTTGATAAGCCAAGGTCTCCAATGTTATTGAAGAAGACCCCATGCATTGGCTTAGCCTTGTGTTCCCGCAGAAGTGAGGTGATCTCTGCGGCTTTTATCTGAACTTTTTGCTGAACGGGTTCCAACTCGGTGACAGAGTTGTGGTCACCTCTCTCAGTGTCAGCTGCTCGGGCAGCTGCCCTAAAGAGAATTGCTCCAATTCCTGTTCTCTCATGGTCACGGACCATGCAGAGAAGGGGATCCGAACTCCTGATTATTATTATTATTATTATTGTTCAGCGCCACTGTTCTCACCGTTGCAGGTCTCACAATAAAAGCAGCTGACCTTCAGGAAGTGCCTGTTTCGTAAAGCCAATGCTTTTCTTTTTCGTACAAAGCGATGAGCATGTATTTATTGACGAATGGTTCTAGCTGCTTTGTAATTGCCTTGGGCTAGTTCATAGACAAAATGCATATCGGCGATTTCTGGGTTTGAAAACCACGCAATTTTCTAATATCAAAAGTTTCATAGCTTCAAACCCTTGAAAACACTTCAGATAGTTATTATCGAATAATTACGTATGGACTGTTCCAAGTCAAATATGTTTTAATAATTTTTTTTATGACACTTGAACTTTTGTTTCTTCTGTTTATTCATACATAAAATCGCGTTATTGCACTGCCATTCCATAAACAACAATAATAATTGGAACAAGTGAGTCAGTCGAAAATCAATGATTAATTTTTTCTATTGCTTGCATATCTTTTGATAACAATTCCAAAGACAAGAATAGATTATCGGTATGGAAAAAACAACAAGAAAACCCAAGTTGTTGATGGTTTGGAAGTTCAATTTTTTCATTTTGTTTTCCCAGGGATATGCAATTGAAGTTTTCACTTTTTTTTCTCAAAAACAAAGCCATTTGATGAATTTACTCGAAAATAAAGGTTGTAGTTTCAATTGTTTCATGCAAAAAAATTGCGAAAAATCAGTGACGTAACAATTTTTGGTATAAATATTGGTTAAGATGCCTTCTAAAACGCCACTGAACATGATGATTTCAATCTAGTATGGCTGAATAGCTCCTCACTACCCCAAGAACTACTGCGGAATCTCAACAAAATCGGCTACAGGATTATTGAGATATTCAGGAAAAAACTATTTCTTCCACAGATATTGACATCCTGTTTTTCAAAAATGAAGCTTTACCGGATCTATATTCGTATGACCTTTTTGTCACAGAATTACTCTTTAAATTTCGTCTCGTACTTACATAACACCTTCTATATTGAAACACGGCCATCGATTATCTAAAATAGCATTCACATCAACGTGCTATAATTCTCAACCACCATATTTTCGAATATCTGTTTTAATCCTAAGATAACTAACTTCGAACAAAAAGTAGGAAAGTAACTTGTATCTTGTAGAACTTGTGTTCGAAACAATATAAGAAAAATAACAGTTATTCCTCAATTAGTTTGTTAATCCACCCAACAAAAAAATCCATCCAAATATCGCTTCGTCCGTGAAAACTGTGTTATTGGAATCACTCCATATTTGTGATTCTGACTCGAATTGAAAGAAGTCAGAGAAAAATGAAACATGTATAATAAGTAAATAAATACTTTCATAGTATTACTTCATTGCCACTCCTCAAACATATAAATGTTTTATAAACATTGTTTACTGAATACTATTTTCATTTAACCTCATTGGTTTCATTTAACCTACAGTTACTGTGGCTGCTTGAATAGGTTCGTAAATGAAAACTTGATGAATGATCCTTTGGAGATATCTTTCAATAAAGTACTTTGGTATATTTTTCTTTGAGAATTCATGTGGTTACTTACAGATTAACCGTAGTTGTTCATGTTTGGAGTAAGTTTCAATCATCCATTGATTTCCTTGACTGGAAGAAATTTTATCAATGAGACTATTCACAACACAGTATCAGGATAATGACCACAATAGTCCATGCCTTCGACAACAAAATAGAGTTATTTGTTTCACAGTAATCAAATCATAAAACCATGAAGTTTATTCTTGACGATACATTTTTGCTTGAGGGTATCATAACAATGAAAAAGAAACAGCTATGATGAAAAAGTATCTGCACGTTGAACCCAGGACCATCATTGTGAAACACAGTGATGGTTTAACAGAAGTAGAAGTCCTGTTGAAGATTTTTGAGAAAGGTTAAAAAAATCTGTTTGAAATCTGTTTTTCCGTTAACCAGCTGCCACCACAAGGTGAGCTCTTAATTTGTATTATACCCAATCATAAAAAATGACGTATTCTGGAAATGTCAATATTATAAATCTCTCATATTGAAAACATCTTTTCTGCTAATTTTGTTGTTTGTTTGAAGGTGGTGGGATTCATAGTTGTCTAATATGATATAAAATTATTGATTCTCTCAGGGATTTCAATTCATTTTCTATCATATTAGGCAATGGAAGTACGAAATGATGAATTTCAATATATTTCTCTTCAATTAATTTGAATCAAGTCAATTCAGAAGAAAAGGCCATGTACTGTACTGTACATGTACATGTACTGAAATGAAAAAGAATGGACAATGAATGAGGTGTCAGGATCTACGCCATTTTTTTGGGGATTGTTAACAATAATTTTTGTGCATGATCACTTCAGATTTTGTATTACTCGCTAATGATGTTTTTTATGTTGTAATTGTTGTATCGATTGGAATAAGGAGCTAGTTTTTACTGACTTGCTGAGTCTTTTCTGCTCCACTGAAAATGTTCCGATTCTTTCGTATTTCGATGACTTTCCTGTAGAACCTGGCATAGTATTTGAATGGAGTTTGAAACTTGGGAGTTTTTGGGATTCATCGGCGACGATTATTATACACTCATGGCATAGCTGGTTACACGGTTAGGTTAGATTAGGTCCAAAGTGAGTGGGTCTATTCGACCCTCTGCCGCAACCCGCAAGGGTTTATTGTGGCTCACACCTATTCTCACTCGACCAAATAAACCTAGCTTCTTAACGAAGCCGATTAGTTTGTATGGTGAGTTGCCTTTTAGGTCAGATGGTGAGAGACGGCTTTGCTGACGATTTTCACCTTGATACCAGCGACAACCTTCCCATATGAGGGTTTTTGCACGTCACCTACACCTGACGATGCCTTAGATTCAACCGTGCAGGGCTTTTTCGCTTCTGGTTTCGGTGAATCATCACTTGAGCTAACCTGTTCATAGGGGGTTTGTTCTTCAACCTGAGTCAGATTCTGCGTACGCCGCTCAAGAATTTGGTGCAAGGCGGTTCCATAAGGTACCCCGCTCTTGAGGAAACGACTCAGTCGTTTCTTGGCTGCACCACCAAACTTTTTTTTCAGTTCACAGGAGTTGGAAAGTTGAAAAACACTCGCTCCTGATCTAAATCCACAGGGAGGTCAGTTGGAGTCGTAAGCTAGACATCCATCTCATCTGTAGGGGGTTAATATAACCAGCAGGGTCCATCGCACAAAGGCCGCTGGTTGCAAGAGGATGAAATTAATTTTGATACGGAACCGTGTAGTCGGAAAGTCAGTGAAACTTAGCTGCTTGACTCAATATACACCAAAGCTACATCATTTAAAGAATCAAGAGGCCTGGAAGAGTGAGAAACTTACTCAAAACTGTCGAAATGTGGTTATTTTGTGGAGTGATACTATATATTCTTTATATAGAAAATATACCTTTCCACGATATTTGAATGGATGGGTGATACAATCTAGATATTAGACATTGCTGTTAGTACTGCTCAGAATAAACATCAATTTTCAGACACGTCATTGGACTTTACATCAAACAGACATAGAAAACTGAATTTTGTCAGAAAATGCGTAGGAAATCTGTTTTCCAGTACCTTAACATTTCTAAATCTACAACACAACATTTATTTAGTATAACTGTTAAATATAACTAGATAGATTGTGCCTAGTAATACAGAAGTGTCTGAGAACAACTTTATTTTTATTTGAACAAATCGAAAACTGCACCGTTATTCGATCTGGATCATTTTTAAGACTTATTTTTACAACACCTATAGGTATATGAATACATGTATTATATCAACATCCATTTATTGTAACAACAAATATTGAATATCACGCATATTTGTGTATGCGATTAGATATATAATCATATTCCCACGTAATTTCTGATATTACATTATCAAATATGGAAAACTCAACTAGTAAGGCTTAAGGGCTCATACAAGTCTTAACCAGATTGGGCTAAACATGTTTGATAATGTTTCAGTTTATTCATTCGCACATATTCACTGATGAACTCAAAACAACTTCTATTATGATTGTAGCATTTTATGTGGTTGTTGTTTCATCAACTCATCAAAATATTCTACATTATTGGTTTGGTATATTTCTAAAGTGTTCCGATTCACCCCTGATGGAAATATAGTGGCTATATTTCAGAAAAAAAATTACATCTCATTCGAGTCGAGAAATTGATGGCAGGAATTCCCTTTTTTCTCTTCAGAATTAAGATTATTCTCTAATTCAGATGATGGAAAACTATTTTCCTAAGATACGAACACAGGCTATCACGAAAAAACCAAATCCAGGATGGTGAACAAGTAAATGAAATATTATGATTATTTCAATCACGTCATCCTCAATACTGATGTTCGGTACGTGAGATCTGTTTATTTCCACCGTATTCTCTAGCAAATCCTTGACAAATAACGGTTTCCACCTATCATAAATTACTTCATCGTTAGCGATATTTGAACTAAGCCGTTTCACTTTCTTAACATAAAATTTGGTTTCATTTAAAATAATACCCGACTAACAAATTAAAGTTTATGGGATAACTCACAATTCAGAATGTAACTTTGCTGATCTGGGCTGGAAATATTTCAATCATTATAAATTATCTCCTATCGAGCCTAAAACATGTCAATTTTATTGAAGAGTGGATGTTCTTTTAGTAGAATTTAAATTTAGAGTGTACTTCAAAATTGTTATCCATTTGTTTTTTCATCCTTGGGTTTGAAAATCGTTAAACACAAATCATTGTATCACAATAATTCACTAGAACCTCTAGTGAATTGAAATAGAATATCTTACTGTTGGAGTTACACCAGAAATGTTGAGTATCCTTTGTCCTGCTTATTTAAAATTTTATTGAATAACAATTTGAATCATTTTCAGCAGCTGTGGTATTTCGTGAATTGCCAAAAGTTTTTTATTGTCTAAACCATTGAATTATGCTGTATAAACTAAGATTATATGGTTTAGGATAGGAGAAAAGTCTACCTCAAACAGAGAACTCAGATCGTGAAAACCCATAAACTCTTAAATTGTGGTTTCGTCGAATGTGGGATTTCTCAAGGCTCAACGCTTATACCAATTTTATCCTTGCTGTTTCAATGACTTGCCATTTTATTGTATAATAAAAATGAGAGCTTACAGTCAACAGTGGTATCTTTGGAGAGTGAGAGTGATGCTGATTCAATTTCCTTCTATTTTGTGAAAAATCATTCTGTATTTTTCCTGATATTTCTCTAGCTAGTGGCCTCGTAAGGAAAAGTTAATGTAATCAGCCACAGAAGTTATACATGAATGAAGAAACAAATCTTCGACATCATGTTAGACAATCAGAATTGAGGATTGCCTCAGGTTGTTGTGTATGGCGAACAGTTGCAAAAAAAATCAGGCACAGCGACACCAACAAAGATTCACCGCACCTTATTGGAATCACATATACCAAATGAATCAATATTTCTTCTACAGAAGCCTGTTATCTGCTATCTTTTTGCGGTAGCATCGATGGTTTTATGTAAAGAATTATGCAAGGCTCGTTGGTGATTCAAGCAATATCTACTGCAACTGTCTGTTTAGTATTCAAAGACAAATCCTTATACAAGCTCATTAGGAGTCACATGTTCAACAATTTACACTGAAGTATCGACTTCAAAAACAAATTTGATGAAATAGTCATGCACTCATAATGATGCTGAATTATACAATCATCTGCCCACATAAACTGAACATTTTGAAACACTGTATTAAGATCTGGAACTGATTTCTGAGACAGAGTTCATTCGTCTTCTCACCACATCAGTAATATTCGTTATATCATTTGCTTTATCATCTACTGAATTAGTTACATTTATTGTTATTGTTATATGCCTCATCGACCTATTCTCATGGGAATCATTATATAAAAAAGTGTCTGTACGCCTACGTTTTGTCAACGATAGTTTTATATCTTCAGACAATGTATATTCATGATTCTAATTGTAATTTCCAAATATGATATGAATGTAGTATCCTCATCATTAAATTGATGTTTCAACGAATCCAAATGTTCATATTTTGTATCATTAATTGTATGTTTTCTCTTGTTCAAAGGAATACAATATCTGTTTGATATAACTTCAAACTACTTGTCATGAAAATTGATGTTCAGTTCTTCCGAGAACATCAACAAAGAATCAAAATTCACTTGAATAATTTCTCACCGTTTCGACAACTATGATATGATTGGTTTTTCTGTCAATGATTTTGTGAGCAAATGTTTCAGCTAAGTACAAACAATACATAATATATGCGTTATTCTGAAACTATAAATAATTTGGTATTCCTTACGTCTATAAATTCATGGTCGTTCGAAATCTGAAATGAAGAAGAAATTGAGCTCTCTCATCTCTATCAAAACCTATGTCAAACTTTAGTAACTATAAGAATAATGAGAAACAGTTCTGCTCCATTTCTGCTTTCAAAAATATACTCACTTGTGTGTTTACATGATGACCAAATCTAACATACAGGGTGTTAAAGATATCCTAAGGTAGCGTAGGTCTTCACGAATGGTGTATCAACTTTGCAGGTTTCCCTGGGAAAAAAAAAATATGTTGATTACTCATTTTCTCATGAAGATGACAATAAACATATTTCACCAACTTGATTCATAATGAATCAAGTTGGTTATTTTACCTATATAATTCTATAAAATAATAATAATAATGACTTTGAGTCAAGGCGTGCTGCTGACCACCAAACAGCACTGCCTTGATAGGATACGAATGCTAGTGACTGCTAAGAAAGTACTAGTGAGGCGAGCAAGAAGTATTGCGGAAAACCTTAGGTTCCGCGAGAAACCTTCTCGCTTATTCCAAGAGCCTCCACGTGTTGTGGATAATCCGTGGACTGCTGATCAGGTGGAATCCTTCTGGAAGGATATCTATAAACACCCGCAGCTACTCAACTTAGATACACTCCAGCCCTAGCGCAGTTCGAAGCTTTCAACAGAGAGCTTCTTCAGCCTGAGCTCAATGAACTGCGCAACCCGATAACCCCGTATAACGTTCGAAGAGCCCTTGTGGGTTCCAAGAACTTTGCTGCTCCAGGTCCAGGTGGGCTGAACACATATTGGTGGAAAAAACTACCAAGCACCCATCGTCATCTTGTCAGAGTTTTCAGCTCATTGCTGGACGGAGAGCAGCCGATTTCGTATTAGTTTGACTGAGGGCGGACCGTTCTCTTCTCCAAAAAGCGGGCATTTGTCGATTCCTGAGAGTTAGAGACCGATAACATGCTTAAATTTGTGTTATATGTTATTCGATAGCATCCTCTACACACGAATACTCACTGCCGTTGACCGAGTGTTCTAACGGATATATTAGCAGAGAGGGTCGAAGAGAGGAGTCGCTGAATGTGAAGAGAACCTGCTCATCGATAGATGTGTAACGCAGGACTCGATACAGTTATCCGTCGCACCCGTGGAAACCGGAGGCACAAGGTCACCCATCTGTTTTATATGGATGATCTTGAACTTTATGCCTCTGGAGAGAATGATCTCCATCAGTCCTTGAGGGTGGTGGAAGAGTACACGCATGCTATCGGTATGAAATTCGGGATAGACAAATGTGCAATGGTCCATTTCAAAAGAGGACGATGCGGGGACTACGGAGAGGATGTGCAGCTCGTAGATGGAAGCATCTTACATCATCTGGATGCCAGAAAGACGTATACTTACCTCGGGGTGGAACAACGCCACTCACAAGAGGTAACAGCAGTGAAAAACTTACTCCGCGGCAAGTATCAGCACAAACTTTGACAGATCTGGTCACCGGAACTGTCGGGGAAGAACAAAGTTGCTGCAACAAATATGCTTGCCGTTCCAGTCTTACTCTACTCGTTTGGAGTAGTGAAGTGGACTCGGGAGGAGTTGTATCAACTCGACGTAAGGACCCGAAAAATGATGCATCTCTATAGGAGTTTGCATCCCAAATCGTCCGTTCCACGGTTGTACTTTCCCCGACAATATTTGTGAGTAAACCGAAAACAGCGTCTATCAAACGCGTAAAAGGTCCAAACTGCGATTTTATGAACATATTCTTCATTAAACAGAATTTCTATGAACAAGTGTGAGCCATTCTTAGCAATGAATCCAGTCTCTGGTGAATGATCACGATATATTGTCATTTCACTTCCGATGTTTACCCTGAATATTGATTAAGATGATTTTTCACAATTAGTTTCCGAAATGAAACCGAACTCGTATCGATATCTGTAATGAATATTTTTTTCTGTTGTGTAACTTTGTTATTCGGTGTAATTATTTGTGTTTTCATTGTATTTTAGAGTTTTCGACTCGGAAATCAACTACCCTAAATTTCGAAGTTTTTCATAATTACCCATGGTGTAAAAATTAAGTTGAGATAACTTCTCCATGGGGTGATCAATTGCTATGATTGTAAGAATAAGTAACTGAAAAATTGAAAAACTACCACTGAAAAATAATATGCCGACGCCTATGTCGAGGCGGGAATTCCTTCTCCGTGCTGTTCCAATTAGTATTGGAAATACTATAACAGCAGTGAAGAACTCTCTTCTCGGCAAGTATCAGCACAAACTTCGACAGATTTGGTCACCGGAACTCTCGGGAAAGAATAAAGTTGCTGCAACAAATATGCTTGCCGTTCCAATCTTACTCCACTCGTTGGAGTAGTGTTGGAGGGGGGAGCTGTCTTAACTCGACATAAAGACCCGAAAAATGATGCATCTCTATAGAAGTTTGTATTTCAAATTGTCCGTTCTACGGTTGTACTTTCTCCGACAACATATGTGAGTAATCCGAAAACAACGTCTATCAAACGCGTAAAAGATCATATGTTTAATAGCAAAAACCCTCAAAGTTTTGTATGGTTAATTCGCAAATTGAGTATAAATATTAATGTGTTCTTTCCAGTTTAGTTTTATGGAAATGTTTTTGACAAACCTTATTATGATTTATTCGTAATGATAATAGTATGAAACTAGTTACTTGATTTTATATCCTGATTCGGTATTTAAGATGTAAAATTGTAATTATTTGTTTCATATATCCTAAGATTCTCGTTATCTGTAATAGATAATATGTTGTTCACGGTTTGAAACCGTGCATGTATGGCAGATACGCTACGGAAAAACAACAACTAACCCGGAAAATGCCGCGCAGAGAGCTGAAGTAAAACCATCAGGCACCTTTGCAATGTCTTCCATTTAGAAGGTTCGTCGCAAGTAACTTCCTATATATAAAAGCAGGACTGGTCATGAGGGGACGTCCACAGGGAGGGGTCTTATCACCCCTTCTCTGGAACATAGTTCTGGATACCCTGATTAATCATCTCAAAAATAATGGATTCTACACAATTACATACGCAGATGACATAGTTATCTTGCAGACCGGCAAATTTGTAAACACACTGTGGGATAGAGCGCAGGATGGTCTCAACTCAATAGAAACATGGTGTGAGGAACACTCACGGCCCATCAATCCCAAGAAGACTGAGATCAGGAAAAGAAGTTTGTCGGGCTTAAAACCTCTCGAAATCTTTAAAAGCAAACTAAACTTCTCTGAAAAGGTTGAATACCTTGGTACTATCCTCGACAGGAAGCTAACATGGAATTCTCATCTACAGAGTAGAGAAAAAAAAGCATATGTGGCTTATGAGCAATGTCGGGGGATAGTGGGACGCGCATGGGGTCTTTCACCCCGTGTGGTCATCTGGATCTACTCTGCAATAATAAAACCTATGTTGATGTACGGAGCCATTGCATGGGGACCGAAAGTTCTACAAGCAACGGCCATCCAAAAATTATGTCAAATACAGCGACTGGCTTGTTTAAACATCACAGGAGCCATGAGAACAACATCAACCCCGGCCATGAAATTAATTACGGGTATGACCCCTCTGGACCTGTATGTTAAGGAGGTTGCGTTAATGGCCATATTACGATTGCGCACGGCTGGTGTAAACCTCGAAGTAGGAATGGGAAGTTGAGGCTGAGCCTATGGCGAGAAGCGCTTAATGCACAACAGGCAGCCAGTGATGCAATTGAACCAAAGTTTGTGTTTAATAAACCCTACAAAATGTAATAGGGAAGCCCAAGCGGGGATTTCAGGATTTATTGAAGCGTGGCAGATTAATATACAGGGGGATACCTTGTACCCGGTTAAGTACCTCCACCAAATATGAGCCCCATATATAAGGCCGTTTGTGAGTGATGAAGGATCAGATTAGTAAAAAAAAAATTGATCATCAGAAATTCTCGAGCGTGTCAGATTAAGGTAGGGTGAGTTAATTACCTGCTAAAAAGTGTATATTCCAGTANATTAAGTGGGGAATGAGAAAAAATACCAACGTGGTTCAAACAGAACTGGCTGGTATCTCAATCGCCACAAAAGAAATAACCAGAAAAGGAATGTCTGGCAAAAACATAACAATCTGCATTGATAGCAGACAAGCCCTATTAGCCTTGAACAGACAACGTGTTACCTCAGGGCTAGTACTAGAGTGCCACCAAGATTTAGCCAAAGCCTCGGTGGATAATAACATTATCTTGAGGTGGGTTAAAGGGCACGACAGGAGTAAAGGTAATCGCATTACCGACTCTTCAGCCACTGAAGCGGACCCAGTGGCCCCTACGGCCTGATGATCTCGACATTTTGCGGAACTAGCTAAACGTCACACCTTTTCTCAATCACTGAAGAGATGAGATCGATTCAAAGGATGCAATCTTGCCAGGATCACCTTGGGCGACCCTGGGAAGCTGGGTGAACAGGAAGATGAAACTGTGAGGCTTGTCCTATGCGAATGTTCGAAGTACGTGTTCAGCGAGTCTTGGTCTACACCTGCCAATATGAAGGAGATGTCTCCCAGAGAACTGGAATGGACCGGATGGACGATAACCAAGGAGGACAACTCCTTGGGAGGATGTACAATGGGTCACATGTGGCCTAAGTGCTGTGGACCTACACTTGCCCTCCCTACTCTACAGATACAGATACATTTGGTCGAGACGACCACCGATAGACCGGTTTCGGAGTACTTGCTCCTCGTCATTACCGGGACGGAGTGAACCGTTTGAATATCCCGAACAAACAAAATCAATTCCATACATTTTCAGGAAAGTGAACATTCCTTACTCGTCTTCCCAAGGGCACACATCGTTGCTTTTGGCCTCACCCCCTCCATCCAGATGATCTTCCGGTTCCGAAGGTGGGAACTCGCTGGCTGGTGATTCACTATCAGGTTCGGCTAAAGGAGCCTTCGCCTCTTGACTATACCCCGCGATGTCTTCTTTTTCTTTTTTCTCTAAATCCTCGTTCAGATCTTGTTCACATTTATCGCCCGGCGAGTCATCCACCACAGAACTAACACTGATTATGGGAGCGTTAGCACCCGTCACTGATAAAGTCTTGGCGAGGCTATGACTCTTCTTGAGAGTTTTTGTATCTTCTGATTTTTTATTGTCTGGGTCACAAGGATTACCGAACACGGATGATGAAGTACTTGTTGTTGCAGAACTATCTTCAAACGAATAAATCTTTCTTCTGGAGGCTTCACCTGTAGAGTGCGTGATGGGAACTGAAACTGAAGCTCTCCTTGAGGGTTCCGTTGTGACAGTAGAGAGCGTTTTGTAACTATCAAGTGTATGTTGTTGAGTCAATACACAGGATCGTTGGATCTGAAAATAAATAGATTTCAATCAATGCCAATAAAATGTAATAGAAGGCGTGGATCTGATGAAACTGAAATTGAAAACGCGAATGTGATTTTTTTATTGTATATTGGAGAAGTTCAATGAACAAGTTCAGGAATTTTGTTGTGATAGGTTTTTAGTTCCCTCCATAATTGAAAAACCTTAATTTGTTCTAAAAATAATTTTGTTTCAATTTGAGTTTGAGTGTTTACGCAATATCTACTATCTTTGTTTGAATGTGATTGACGATGTTTCATGATGAATTTCCATTGTCTACTATATTGTGTCACTCTGCGAAAATTCAGAGTAGATCCTTTATAGGTCTGAGTATATCTTTCAATGAGTGTTTCATGATGATCAGATTTTGCAAGATGAATAATATTTGTGAAGTGGGAGTTTATTTGATTCAGATCTGATAAATGTCACATTTTTTTGAGCCACCCGGTACACTCCAAAGTATTTTTTTTCTGCAGCCTCAATCAATATACATATAATGGAAAGAAGAAATTTTCGAAAAATTCATTGGTTTGATATCGAGCTTTCGGCAATGTTAATTGCCTTCTTCAGGACAACTGTGATATATAAATGTGTAATTACATATTATCCGATAACATTCCTCACTTACTATCGTGAGGATGGATGATAATTAATTTCAAGAAACTGAAAAAACAATTGATAAAATTCACCTTCTCGGTAACTTCTCCTATAGCCACGCTGGTATCAGAGGATGAGCTTCCAGAATCCAGTTGAATGGAGTTTTTTCGAGATCTTGGCTCTGTCGATCCAGATTCCCAGGGACAAACATCTTCAGAGGTCGATGATCCTGCTACGATGGCTATGCTGGGTTTTTTCGCCCTAGAGCAGTAATTAATATATTAGACAATGAAATTACTGCCGGAAATGTGACATTAGGATCTTTCTCCCAATTTAGGAGACAACGTTGTTCAATCTCATAGCAAACATAACTTTTGGTACAATGATTTTCAGGAAAAATAAAAAAATACGTCAGCAGTAGTGTACAGGGGGAGACATTTTGACATATTCACATTTGATGTTACTTCCCCTATCGCACCCCTAGAGCATGTCACCATGTTTTATTGAATGGATCACCCTATATTGTGTTGTATAATCAGATGCTTCATGATGAGCAGATTTCAACAAAGAAGAATAGAATAGAATATAATATTTATTTAACTGTTATATATAAAAGTACATTTATAGCAAGTCAGATTAAAAATACATAAAGATATATTAAAAATGCCTAGAAGGACATACTAGCGACAAATAAAGATTGCCACCTTGAGTATATTTATGATAATTCTGATATCAAAAATGAAATAGTGATGATATTTATCAGAGCACTTCTGAGAAAACAGAGTCGAGCGAATGGGATCTGAAAGAAGTGTTGAAAGAGGCACTTCAGGATGTTGCATATATTTGTTTGAAGGTGATTGACAATGTTTCATGATGAATTTCACTAGTTCGGACTTCCATTGTCTACTATACAGGCTGATTCACGGTGGATGGCACATTTAATATATTCGTCAAAAAGTTCATCTACTTTTGCAAAGAGTCAAAATCATGTACTACTTTTACACGCAATAACTGGCTGTGATACGACGTCTGCATTTTACAGGAGGGGTGAAGCAACAGTCTTTAAAATGTTTGAAAAATAAGATTTAGTTCAATGTGCTGAAGTTTTCAAAAAAAGTAATTCCACTCAACAAGAAATTATCACCAACGGGATTCAGTTTCTTTTTTCTATGTACAAAGCTCCGAAAAAAACCACCTGCTTACATAAGTATCGATATGCATGTTTAGTAAAAAACACTAAAAATAAATAGAGGTGCAATTAGCTTGTCTTCCTCCAACCTCAGTTGCTGCTCTTCAACATATTCTCCGGGTATATTACCAAGTTCAAGTGTGGCTTGGTTATCAGCTAGACCCAAAAGACTGGGGTTGGAAGTTGGTCGCCAATGCATTAGAACCTATTTAGACTTTACTCCCATCTGCGCCGGATGCAGCGCTAAATGTGATTGTAAAAAAGTTGAACTGTTGTGTTCTCTGGCATGTACACATTGTCAAGACCACTCATGTTCTAATCAATAGTGGAGGATTCATTTGATACCAACGAGAAAACATGCGATACATCACTCTTGACGCAGTTTAACTACACCCAAGATGGACATCAAGAAGAAAAAGAAGATCAAGAAGAAGAAGAAGATCAAGAAGAAAAAGAAGATCAAGAAGAAGAAGAAGACCAAGAAGAAGAACGACAACAAGAAGTATTTGAAGGTTATGACTCAGATGAATAAATTTTTACATTTTTTTAATTTCAATCGCTTTTATAATTTCCAACCCTTCCTAATATATTTTATTATGCAAGTTTTCAATTTGACAGAATCACAACAGACATGTGGAATAGGCCTACTGGGAAAACCACGTTGAAAAAAACGCGCTGAGTACACTACCTCCTAGGTGGCGTGGAAACGTGTGCATATAATGACGATTACAACTTTTACAACTTTTTGACTCGTCGTATCTCAGAAACGGTGGCTCTAAGGAAAAAAGTATCGATACATTTTTTGTAGAGAATTTTATGGTCTACAATTTTTATCTGAAGTTATTTCATAATAAAACTTACCGTTTTCCTGAAAATCGCGAAAATCCAAGTTTTTTTCGAGATATTTGATCTTTGACCTCGAATAATTTTTTTTCCAGGCATCGCAATCATTCGGAATTTCAAAATCTTATTATTAACTATGTTTTAAACAATTACACGCGTTTGCAGCTTGTTGTAAATTTATGTACCTTCCAATGTCTAGATTGACCGGATTATTGTGTATTTGTATGGCTTGTCGAATGATGATTCGACGTTGCTAGCCTCTCGGTATTATTATTGTTATAACTGGACCTATTCCTCCGAGATCTGACTATTTATAGGTCATTCAAGTGCTTCCACCTACCCCTCTTCCCTCTCTCCGTTTCATCGGTTCTAGCGGGAGCTGTCCGTTTGGCGAGAGTTGGTCGTGTTCCGCATCATTATAAGTTTCCATATGTTACGTATCTCTACGCTAACTTGGCTAAATGCATTGTTGGACAGCATATATGCGGCTTCTTTGAATTTTCCTCTGAACCAGTGTTCCTCCTTGTGGATGATTTTGCTTGAGACCCCTTGATGCTATTCCGGATTTGCTGGTTTCTCTTCGTTGTATGTGTTGTTTGTGATCGGCAATGCGAACTTTCAATGGCCTCTTAGTTTCTCCGATGTATGATTCTTCACACTCGCAGGGTATCCAGTAAATGCAATTCTTGGAATCGGAGTTCGCGTTTGGTGGCCTGGTTTTTGTGAGGCTACTACGGATATTATCCCAGATTTGAAGCAGGTCCTGATGTTATACTTGGACCCAATTCTTCTTATCCTTTCCGACAATCCTCTGATGTAGGGAGGTTCAAGTACTGGTTGTGGCGACTTCTCTTCCTTGTGGAGCTCTTGCTGTCTTCTAGATAAAATTTGTTCTACCATCACTCTGGAGTAATTTCGTAATTTCGTTGAAGGTCATTTTTGATGATGGCTAGTTCCTTTTCGAGACCTTCCTTTGTATTACAGAGCTCGAAAGCACGGTCTAGTAGAGTCTTGATGATTCCTCTCCTAGTCGATTGATGGTGGTTGAATTCCTGGTTCAGATACCGTCCCGCGTGAGAGGGATTTCGGTATACAGATGTTTCCCATTCAGTGTCGGTTCTCTTCACCAATACGTCTAAGAATGGCAATTCGTTGTGGACTTCCTTCTCCATTGTGAAAGTGTTGGATAGACTCACGTTGTTGATGTACTTCAGGAAGGTGTCTAGTTCTGCATTCCCATGGTTCCATATTATGAAGGTGTCGTCCACGTATCTCAATCAGACTCGGGGTTTCCTGTGGGCTTCTTCAATGGCCAAAGTTTCAAACCACTCCACATACATGTTGCCTATAGCCGGTGACAGTGGCGATCCCATTGGACTGGCAGTTCGTTTTTCAGCTAATCCATATGTTTAATTTTTTATAGATTCATTCAGGGATTTCAAATCATTTTATATCATATTAGACCGAACTAATGAAATGCACTGAAAATAATCCTTCGGAATGATTATTTTTGAAAATGGCTGAGATAAATAACGAAGAACGAGCGATGAATAAAAGATCAGAGCTCAACAATGTCAGTTGAATTCGTACATTAATTTGGAAAAATAAAAAAAATTCATATCATCTCAATTTCAAAATTTCTCCTACCTGATTTGAAAATATGTCAAAGTCAGTTCCATCATTTCATTTTATCTACGCTTTTCCTGTTTCCATACAATTCCATTTTTCATTCGTCCTCGCGATAGTGAGTAAGAAATGTTATCAGATAATATGTAAATACACATTTATATATTACAGTTTTTTTGAAGAAGGCAATAAACATTGCCAAAAGCTCAACATACATCAAACAGTACAACTGCATAGTTCCTTTCAATAAACGGGGTCAATCAGTAAAAAATATGTAGTAAATTTGCAAAACTTTCGCTTTTAATGGGAAGCTTTTTCAGAGCCTATACCTTGTTAAGTGACACATGGTTGCAGAAACAACACGAATTCACGGAGTCATCAACAGAAGCCAGTAGCTCTTTGTGTTGCCCAACCTTGTATTCTGCTATACCGTACTGATGAAAACTAAGGAGCTAGAAACACGTGTCTGCATATTTTTTGAGTGTTTCGTTAATGATTTTTTTCTGCTTCTGATTGTTTCACATCCACCCGCTATATTATCATCCCTATTTGTATATACAGGGTGGGGCACCTTATACGACACGGTATAGTCGAAGTAACCGGTATAGTGCATAGTTAAAGTTGTCAGCGATCTCAAAGGCCAAAAGACCAATACAGAGAAATAAAGTCGCTGCTAACTACTCCACGTGTATTGTAGACTTGGCGGTGACGAGTGTAATAACAACGCAGACTTTTTTCCGTGTAGTGATTCCTACAATGCTGAAAAAATATACCACTGAATAAGATTCGGATGCATTTGAATATTGAAACACAGAAATTATGTTTCAATGTATATAAGAATCTACATTTCAAGTTTGGTTTCGAAAGAAACAAACTATTGAAAGCAACATCAGATTTGACCGAAATTCCTTTCTCAACTGTACGTAAAAAATGAACCTTATGAACGCAAGACGCGAGGTGATACGGGATTACCAAAACCTTTAGATGTTCATCTGATGAAATCATTAAAAAAACAATAAACGACTGTTACAAAAGCAATGAGATTCCTACAACTGAAATCATAAGGAAGAAATTGAATACTTCCGGCCATTACGTGAGCTGCTGTGACAAAACTCTTCAGAATTGGATAAAGAAACTAGGATTCAGATTTAAAATAATAAACAAACGTCAAGCAGGTACGGAAAGCAGTGGAATTGTGTAACAAATACTTAGAACAAATAACTATATATAGACAAGAACGGCAAATTTTCTATTTGGACGAAACTTGGTATGACACTCACGACACAGTTACGAAAGGGTGGACTGTTGGTTCGAGAATATGTACGCCTAACATGCCTGCAAACGAAGGATCGCGACCAATCATTGTGCATTGCGGAGGAAGTAAAGGATGAGTTTCGAATTCTTTGAAATTATGTGGAAAAAACTTGAGGACTACAATGTTGAATATCTTAAGAACATGGAAGCTAATATTTTTGAGGAATGGTTTGAAAATACATTGATCCCAAATTTGGATGCGAATAGTGTAATAGTTCTTGACAACGCTTCCTATCATTCGCGACAGCTCATCAAAGTACCGAATAAATATTCGAGGAAAGATGAAATA